ATCCTCAAAAAAGAAAGTAAAGCAAAGCTCGTTACTATATTTTAAAAAATATTGGCAATGTTTTTACTACTAGAAGTGGAGTACATATCCTCTTGGCATGTCATACTTTAAACAATTCTGTACAGTCGATTAAGCTCATTTGAGGTTTAGTAATTTACGTGAATTTTCCAATTTTGAATATAGGTATATAGTTTTATTCTAAAATGCTAAGAAGAAATTTAAAAATTACAGATACCAGTTACTCTTATTATACTTGCATTCTCGTTAAGACGCGTTGATGCTAAAGATCAACATTTATATATCTAAGTCCTATTTCCTTAATATATAGGAGTATTTGCCGTATTTTACAAGATGTTAATTTATCATCAAATATTATATAATCATCAATGCAGTGCACTTTGCCAGAAAGTGGTTTGCAGTGTGCTTTTCCTCTTTGTAAGTTCTACGGTTATCATCAGTATTGATTCATTGATTCAAAGTTTGTTCATTACTATAAGCAATTTAGAATGCGATAAATCAGCTATCTGATATAATATAGAATATAGAAGACTATACCAAATAGTTTTTTCTCTTTTTTCCCTTTTTTCTCAGTAAGTATGGAAATATTTCAAACAAAGTTTGTCTGTTGATCTTCAATTTTAACATGCCTCATTATCCATATAATCCACAATTGATTATTGTGATTATGTTTAATTTTTTTAGGCACTTCATTTCCGATTTTGATTCACCTGATAAAAAACTTATAATATAGCAATATAAAAATCATCTTTAATAGTTGTGTTCACGGTTTGAGTAATAATTGTGAGTAATATTTTGCGGTACTCTTAGCCCACATTGCCGCTTGTATGTCACCCTACAATAGAGCACTTCAAAACTGTAAATAAACAATACAATCTATACGACCGCAAAAATGTGTTGTGTGAGTAAATAAAGAAGGCATAAAACCTTAAACATCCTATGATATACAAAGATATATGCATGTGTGCGTATGTGTGTGTGCTTGAAGTGTAGAGCTGACACGGCTTTGTAACTATGCGTAAAGAATACATTAGATACGAAACACTTAAGATAACCAAGAACAACAACACCACCGACATCAACAGAAGCCAGAGAAAACAACAACTAAAACAGCTAAAACAACGAAAACAACAACTAAGATCTGTAGTAATAAAAGCTCTCAAAAGTGGAAACAAAAACCAAAAACAAACGAACCAACACAAAAAGTGAAGTACACCAACAACAACAACAACAACAACAACAATAGCTATCAACACATGTCATATTTGAGCTATTAAATTTAGTTGCCGTTATTTGCTGCCATAGTAGCCGGTGTTGTTGTTGGTGTAGTCGATGCTTTTAGTGTTGTTGTTGTAAGTGATGCTATTACTATGACATAATGTGAGAACAATATGCAGTGAAGCTATATTTCATGAAACTTTATCCGCAGTTTGGAACCTAAATTACCGTAAAGCATATTTTTTAACATTTTGCGGTATTAAAAAAGGAGAAATTGCTAAAAAAAGGTATAAAATTGGAACTGATGAACGGATTTGGTAGCGAGTATCTTTTATTACAGCGACAGACGATACATTATAGCCGAAATACAGGCTACGAAAAGTGACAGCGGAGAGAGCGGAGTTTGGTGAAGTGGAAGTAAATAAAGACATCAGGTTTTATAGAAAAGAGTTTGGGGAATAGCAATTTGGTTCGAAAAAAAAATTTAATGTAAATTTTCAAAAAATAATAATTCCCTAAAGGAATTGGTTTAAATTCAAACTATCTAAAATCGAAACTAGAAGAATACTAAATCAATAATACGTACGTAACATATATGAATATTGTACAGAGTTTCCCGAACGAATTCAAAGAGAGTACAAAATGGGTTAATATTTATATGTTCGAGATATTCGATGGTCTCTTCACCACAATAGTTAATATGAAAATATTCTCCTTGGTAATGGGAACTTCAATGGGGACTTAAATAACAAAATAATTTTTTTTTAATATTTAATTCATCATTTAAACTGAAAATCGCACGTTTCGTACAGATGGTGAACTATACATAGTAGATACATCCATATCTAATAGTTTCTTCTTAGTTATATCCAAAATCCATTAAATATAATATCGCCTTTTATAAATGAGCACGAAGTCTCCAAACAGCGGGTAATAAATTTTAGATTTATAATACACAAGAGAATAAAAATTATATCGAACTTTTATATGAAACTGAAATACAAAATCAAAATACAAACAAATAAATGTATATGGTTAAGCAATACATTCTTGAAAAAACTTTTATAAATGTTGTGAAATAAATGGAAACGTTGAAATTATTATTCTCAAATTCATATTGTGCATAATTTAAATTTTAGTAACCTTCAGCAAAATCATAATTTTTTTCGCAAACTTTGTTTTAAATTCTTATATAAGACAACAAATGTCCAAATATCTCCACCACTAACAAAACTGAATTTATATTTTGATATTACAAATTATATTACTCACCTGGGATTTTATTAAGTCCCCAACACCCACACATATATAATTATATTAAGATTATATGATTTTTAACTACCTTCAGAAATTCGTTTCCGAGATCTCTAAGAACTGTTTGGTCAACATATCAACTACAGTCCATTGTTGGTATCCGGACCCTAACTACTCTCATGACAACAAATCGTTTTGGGTTTCTCATTTTTTACGTATTTCACGCCAATATATGTTATCTTTAAATTTATTATCTTTTATTTATCGAACAATAATCAATAGAAATGAAAAATGGTTTACAGTAGTTCATAATTACTATCTGTTATGATTACTACACAAAACTTTATGAAATTTAATACAAGCTATTCTCGGAATAGTTAATTCCTTACAATTATAATTCTTATTATTTAAAGTAATATATAAGTCAAAAGTAGGTGATGTTCTTCAAGTACAATGTTTAAATTGTTCTAAAAGGTTGTGAATAGAATATATCACAGCTTGTCTATAGCTTTTAATCAATCTTGATTGCTTACTCCGGTTTTTGATTAGTCCATTTTCTTTTCTTTTTTTTTACGCCTCTTCGCATTTTCATATTTTCTCTCTTCTCACATCCATAACTGACAATTGCTTTTTATATGTTTAATGAAACGCTCTCAACCTAATGAAATTTAACCTGAATTCTACTCAATTCATCATCAGAGTCTTCTTCGTCGTTAGAATTAAGAAAGTCATAAGTAAGACCAACATCGTCCTCCTTTTCATCTACTAATACATCTAATACAGCTGTATGCTCATTAACACCATCCACAATTTCGGCTATTGGAATTAATATCATGTCAGTTGAAAATATAGATCAATTTTTGAAATAGATTTTTACTTACCTATGTCGGCATCATTATGAGTTAGGGTTTCTTGGGATGTACCGACTTCCAAACTTAAATTGCTTTCTTTAGTATTGCAATTTGCTTGGTTTCCTTTTGCCAATAGTTTTTCATAGTGTACAATGAGCGTTTCATCATCGGAAATATCAGTGTCATCAAGTTCAGATAGTGTGTGTCCGTTAGCTATCAGTTCTTTCCATAGTTCAAATGCTCGTCTTGCATGCTCCAGTTTTATAAACGAATCTGCATCAACTGTGATTAATTTGAATTGCTCTTGAACATCTTCTACTTGGCCACTAGCTTCTTCTTCTAGTACAACGTGAGCCCTATTATCGTTCATATTGACTGCGTCGTCCATTAATAGGTTGTATTCATCTTCTAGTAGCGTATTATCAACTTGGCCTGTTTCCATGTGTGGTTCTGCACTATGCTCTGCATCATCATCAATATTGCGTGCCATCATTTCGTTGTCTTTCGATTGAGTAGGTGAAATCGGTTCAATGGTTTCGTCATCAGATGGAATAATTTGCAGATCATTAGCAAGTGCTGTTTCTATATTAGTAGCAGTCGCCAGTGCCAAATTGAGAGCTACCTGATCTGTGATATAGTTGTTTACGAAAATGCTCTCGATGACAGTATACTCCGGCATACGTTGCAGTAGATATATAGAAGTCAGATCACACGTCGTCCTGGAAATTATTTCTTCCACATACAATTTATCAAAAAATCTGACTTCGTACAGGTTGGGCTCCGTAGCTGCACTAATCACTATGATCTGTCTCCCAATAGGCACTACGTTATTTGTCGCATATAGCATTTGACCAAGATTTGTGTTTACAAAACGTGAGGTTATGTCTAGCAGCGTCATCGCGGCTATATCTCTTTGTCGAAGCATTTTGTTTGACGATTTATAAACGAATATGAGGTAGAATTGTGAAGAAGAACTAAAATTGATTGGAAAGTGAAATGTATCTTATTTAACAGAAAATTAATTTTATTCAGAACACAAGTTCGGTCTGATTTTTCAGGAAAATATCTGCTGAAGAAAATTTGCTACCTAACCTTTGACAGTTAACTCAATGCTGATAGACATGAATTCAATTTTTTTATTCTGAACAGTAAAGGCCACGTAATCCAGAAATTCATGTGTACGTCAAAATTGAAATTGTTATTGCTTTCAATGTATAAAAATTGAAAGTGAAGGAAAGAGAGAAATGTTTATTTAAATTTGATTAGTTTGCCTCGTCACTTTGGTGAAAACAGTGTTGCTCATAAATGCCAAAATGTACAGCGTTTAGGAGTAAATTACTGCAGTTTTAACCAATTTCGGAAAAAAAGCAAACAGGAAGCAACACAGCCAAGTTTATATACCGCAAATAATGGAATTCTTACACTTTCCGATCTTGAGGAAAGGCACAAAATTTTACAAGTATTGTTAACAATTATTATAATAAAATATAATAATAAGTAAACATTTTTACAGCTTTTATGAGTTATCTTGCTCTGATCAGTTGTGTTGGCAAATTGTAAGTGAGCATTTCTACATTTCCTTTCCAACTTATTGGACACAAAAAGGACAATACGATTAGTAGTAGTAAAAATACTAAATTGGCGGTACATACATATTCGGCTCTCTATATAAAATGCATTTTAGTCATGACTAAAAAGAACGTAACATTGGCATGACTGCTTGACTGGTAATAAATCTATACCTGGATTTCGGAATCATGTTTATATATTTAAGCTTACTTAGACTGAACAAAAAATAATAAAAAGTACATAAAAATAAAAAAATAATAAAAAGTTATCTTCGGATTTGCTGGAGCTATTATACTTATCTACAAGTTGATTAAGCGTATGTTTACCCAATTCTACGAGTTGTTTATTCAAATTAATTCCATCGATAAGATCTTAGATTATTACTTGGCTTAATTTTTTGGGAAACAGCCAATGATACAAGATGCTTTTTATACAGTTCCTGATATGGCTGCTATAAATTAAAAGTTCTAATCGGTCTGTACAGATTTTATAGAGCTAAAAGTATAACTTATAGATTATATTTATTCGCAGTATTCATGTATTTACGGAATGCAATTTCTAAATCTGAACCGATCTTTATGTTAAAAGTACATAGACATATATATATATATATATGTCTATGTACTTTCAACAAATTTTTGACGCTTCGCTATGTATTAATGGTTTATTTACAAAAAGTCTTTGAATTAAATAATTAGTTAAGCTCATTTTCATTATAATAGACGGATGGTAGATTTATGGTAGACTTAGATAGAGTTTTTTTCTCTTATTTCTCCAAGGGCCTCTGACATCTGCTTCACTCCGTCAAATTTGAGATATCCTATTCACACAATATGTATGAAAGATGTTAAGATTAATATGTAATGATATAAAAATAATAATATAAACAAATATATGTAGTCCAAGAAGACCTTTATGAGTACTCTGGTTCTATTCAATTGTATTTAACATAAAGTTAGTAAGTCCTCTTCCAAATCAGTTTGTTTTAAAACCTTTGTACAACTCTGATTTTAGTGAAGTGTCTGATTTGCTTTAATTAAAAGGTATTGAGTACTGCACAATATGTAGATTTAAAATTTGAAATTAAATCTGTATAAAGAAAATAATAAAAAGGAAGAGAATATGGGGAGTGTGTATGTGCGTAAAGCTTATATCTTACAGTTTCTCTTCTTGTTATATAGCTTCAAATTTAACCTTGCATCATTTGAAAAACTTCCAGATATCTTCAATGTTACTGTTTTGAATATATTTTTACTCATTTCACCCTTCTACTACCTACTACCACTCACGTATTTGCTCACTCATGAGCAGCTCAGGCTCATGAGCAAGAGCCAATTCTTATGTGAGCCCAAAATTGGCTCATGAGCGTGAGCCCAAATATGTCTCACATTGAGGAGCTGCTCACCAGCGTGAGCCGTCAAGTTGCTCATATTGAAGAGCTGCTCATGAGGTCTCAAGAGCCGAGAGCTCACGAGCTCAACTGTTTAATAAAAAGCGATTTATTAGTTTATTTGCTTTATGTATCTTTATAAACGTTATATGTGGAAATATATAATTTTATATTAAAACAATTTAATGAAACAATAATTTGAATTTGAAAAACAAATTTATAAAATATTATTATTTTACACAAATAAACAATACAAATATATTTATTGTTTATTTTAAGAACTTTGATTATTTACATATTTTAGTTAGTTCAAGGTTATTAATATTTTAAATCTTTTTTAATGATATGTTTTCACAAAAAATAATAATAATAAAATTTTAAATTGGGCGCATGAGATCTCATGAGCCGCAGCTCATACTCTTGCTCACGAGCGTGAGCCCATTTATAACTTAATGGCGGCTCTTGCTCGTGAGGGTGAGCTCTGTAGTTGGGCACGCTCGTGAGCTTGAGCCATCGTATGAAAAGAGTTTTTGCCGGCTCATGAGCCGTGAGCAGAATGAGCCGAAATGAGCCGCTCATGGGTATGCAAATACGAACTCTGCCTACTACCAAATCTCTCACGGAATACACATATTATGTATATTATATACATCTTGCATATTATATGTATAATAAATAAAAGTTATGTTAAATTATAAAATTATAATGGCTTGTGAGTCTATCAAGAGAGCGCTACCTTCTTCATTATGTGCAATCCATCTACCAAAATTTCACGTTACGGGTATTTTGTTATTATCTCTGCTTTTCGCAAGAAGTTTATTCTACTCCTTACTCTTCATATTCGGTTCACTACAGTAAATAAAATCAAATAACTCTGATGATTTCTAAAGCATTGTTTTATATTTAATATTAAAACGATACTATTAGATGAAAAATAAGGCGTTATATACGTTAATATCAGAGAGTTTCATATCTACTTCACTTCCAGAGCCCAATTTTCTGAAACATAAGTTATTACCAATGAGGCAGTGCTGTTCGGAAGCATTAAGTGCTCCTTACAGCGAGATTTATGTACTGAAAATACATCAATTTTATTTTATGTCTTTATATTTTAATATTATTTTTACGTTCATTTGTTTATACAGTGTTGATATGTATATATGCATGTATGTGTGTATGTATGTGTGTGTATGTATGTGTGTATGTATGTAAGTATTTAAATGTTGTTTATTTATTTTACAACCATTTTAGCTTTAGCAACAATTTCAATTTTAGCTTTATTCAAACAATTTTGTTGTCAGTTTTCAAGCGCGGTATCGTAACCGTCGCATCATTAATCCCAAAATTACACGAAGGATTATGATACTGAAAATTCGCGTAAAAAAAGGATAACAACTTCAGCTGCATATCCTTACGCACATAAATTTTGCACAGTGTTTGCTTTGGCTTTGGCTTGCAGGCGCATAAATAATTACTGAAAGGTCCTTTTTTCCCATTAAATTGCGGGCACAGAAGTGTGATGCTCCCGCTGCTTCTCCCACACAGCAGTAGCAATGCCATTACCCTTCCCCACACCTACACCCTCTGCACATGCATACTCATAATCATAGACGTTCTGTATGGTATCTTGTAATGGATACGGACGGTGAAGACGACGGCGAAGGCGACGGCGAAGGCGAAGACGAAGGCGACAGTGAAGTTTGACGCTTTGTCTGTTTGTGTACTTGTGGTAAGCGACTTTAGTTGGCAGTTCCCAGCGTCTTTACTTAGTTTGAGATAATACCGCATCTTTCTCTTTAGCAAATGCCTGTCAACGGAACGTCATTATTTTTTTAGTAGTTAAGGTTTGTTTTGGCATGTTGGCAGTTGTTAGTTACTTATTTCGCTGCTTATTTGCTATCTTTTATTTTGCTTGCCTTCTAATATCTTTTTTAGTCGTTTATAGCTTGGGTTGTTACTTTCTTTATTCCGTGATTTTATTCCTACGTAGGATATGATTTAATGCTCTGTACCGACGATTTGCGCCCTACTGGTGATGCTGCCACTGATGAATCTGCTGTTTTACTTAAATGTTTCGTTAATATCCTGTCTGCCAAATATTTAGGTCGCGCGCAAAAAATTCATAAATAAATAGAAGCAAAAAAAGAAAAATATAGGAAGAAAGCAAACAAAATGTTTAATATAGAAAATACAAAAAATAACAACAAAAAAAATTATTTCTCATTTTTATTATATTTTCACGCTTTGGTTTTCGGCGTTTGTAGGTGTGCTTAAATGTGCATTTTCCACAGAATCATTATATTTCTACTTGAGGCGTTTATTTTTATGAAAATTCAGCTGGATGTGCCTCAGTTCCAGTGCGCTAGTCCCTTTGTTATTGTTGCTGTTTAGGCAGGATAAACGCCCACTGGCAAACTTACGCGACCAAAGAAAATTGCAGTAATTAAGCGAAATATTAAAATGTCATAAGAAAAGGAACTGAAATTTAAAGACACTACTTGATTTGCCACCTCTCACTCCTCTTCTTACCCACCGAAGAACAGAGAAGTGTGGACTCTTTGCCGATGAGAAACCATCCTAGTTGGTTGCTCAGTTGCTTGACCTCTTTGTGTTTCGTACTGGCACTGGTACTGGTACTGGTACTAGTGCTGGTGTTCGTGCTGGTACGCGAACTCTCCCATAGACAGCTATATTTCTTAGTTTTTACTCGTCGTATCCATTGTCACATAGTGTCTTGTGTCTTGTGTGTTGTGTGTTGTGTGTTGTGTGTTGTTTCGTTTTGGCAGGAGTAATAGAAAAATTAATGTAGGAAAAAATTAGCAGTTAATGAGTTTTTAAATTACTTTAGGAGATTAGCAGAAATAAATTTATGAAAAAATGTATAAATAATGTTGTAAAAACATGGAACATAATAAAGACCGAGCAGAGAAGAAAATATTAAAATTATATTCAGAGGTAAGATAGAGAAATCTAATCAAAAGGACTGTTTCATTTCGGTTGCTTCACTGAGAAAGGATAGCAGTTACGGGTTGTTATATGTAGAAGAAAATATTGTAATCAGGCACAAGGTAATAATTATGGTAGAGTCAAATAGGATTTATTTCTATGAATTGTGATTAAATTAACTTAATTATAGTAGCATTTAGTAGACGTAGATGAAGGTTTTCAATACCTTCAATATTAAAAAAAAAGGTCAAAAATATTGTAGACAGTAAAAAAAATATTTTATTATATAAATCAAATCAAATCGCATTTAATATTCATATTTTATTAAGAAATTAAGTGAAAATACTTTTAGAGCTTTAAATTTTAATGCATATTATTTTAGTGAACCTCACTGGAATAAAATGTGGTTAAATGAAAAGATTCTTTATGATATGTTATAGTAAATACTTTAGATTCATACCGACCTTTTAAAACTTATTTTTGGACAAATATTAATATAAACGAAATATATAGGAAATTAAGATCAACGCTCAAGATAATGGTATCAAGTTCATGTCTGTAAACTTTAAGACCTGTTCAGGCGAACTGTGTGAAAGATTAAAGTGGTCTGTTAGCTCATTGGCCTTATCAGAGTGGTTTTAGACTTGAGCGTATTAGGAAAGTAACTTCGGTACCTACTATATGTTTTTTTTATTTTGAAGCAATATTCAATAGACTCTTCGATATCGCATTGTATATAATGCACAAAATAAAATACATGTTGGAAACTGCCAAACAAATTCGCTGATTACAGGTCAGCTGGTTATACCTAAACAAAACTTATATAAAACTACGAATGACTAATGACATTAATGACATCAATGATGTCATCCTGGAGATCAGACGACATATTACTTTTTTTCTACAAATTTGACGATAAATTTTCTATCCATAACCAATAGCTAATAACGGCCAATATAGCTTCAGCAGGTGATAGGTGTGAAGAACAGTTAATCAATTGACAAAACTAACACTCTATAAGTGTTAAACGTATTTAAATGATCATATTATAGAATGAGAACACCTCAGTACTAGAGGTATTCGAAAGAAATGTTCTTAAAATCTTTCGTACTCTATGACTTGCCAAAAACTGTGGAATCCGCAGAATTGATATTGACATTGTTCAATGAATCAACATACAGGTGCTTTGCTAGGTAGGTCTTATTGTGAGAATGTCCGACGATATTCAAATCATAGAGGTGCCATTTTAAAGAGGTAAATTTCAAAAGACCATACTTCCCACGGTGTGATCATATTAATCACGACACCTCTTCAGGGCTCGGTAGATGAACTATAACTAAATAATAAAAATAATATAAATAATTCTAAAAATAAATAAAAATGATTAATAAAATTGGAAGATATTAAATCAAATCTGATATATGAAAAATCACGTTTAAACCAGTTTAGTTCCCTTAAACTGCTTTAATTAATAACCCAAAATTTGTTTAAACTGTTCAATTTGTTTCGCAACGGTCTTATTAATATAATATTGTAACTAGAATAGATATCGATTCAGTTTTTAAACGCGTTCTGAATGGAAGGACGTATTTGGGTTCTTATAATATTTTGACTGGCATTAAAATTCATCTTTGTTTTTCTCCTTTTTTTATTCTTTGTTTTTTCTTCGAGTTTTTTATTCTTACATTTATTCTTCGTCTTGCTCTTCTACTTCTTTCTTTTTTATTTTTCTTTTTTTCCTCATTCTCTTAATTTTCAATCAATTTTTCATCTAGGAATACTTGGCTATCAAAATGTCTCTCAATCTAACACTGTGTTGACTGAATCTAACACTTTGGGATTGACATTTAATGTTATCAAATACTCACTTTCTAAAGGATCCTATTCAGCTTTAAATTTCTTTAGAAAGCATTTCAAGCTTTGCTAAAACTTCACATAGGTGGTAGTATTAAGCTGTCGGCCGCATTTATGTCCATTTCAGAACTACTTCTGGTCAGCTCACTTACTAACTCGACCTTTCAAAATTCGTTGGTTTAAAAGCCCCATAGAGAAACACCTTGCGTTGCTTAATATTTAGTAGTAAGGCACTACATTTCAACACATTTCTAGACATTTCTAGATGTTTGGGCTTGGGCATTGGCATCGGCAAAAACAGTCAAAGATTAAAGTTAGCTGAAGATTCCTAGATATGTTCGCCATTAAATTTTCATATACTAGAAACCAATGTCCTTTGGACAATTCATTTAAAGTGATAGAAATATACGGCTTCTTACATCATAACAAGTGATTCTTTCCTCTTTCCAGTCCTCACGGCTGTCCATAATTTGGTCACTTACACCCAGATCCTTTTGTTTTTCATTGCATTTTTTATGGGTTCCATTTGACAATGGGAGCATAAAAATGTGTTAAATATTTTATTGTTTTTATTGCTGCATGAGCAGTAAAATTATTTATGTAACTTTGGTAAATAGCCATCATGCAGCAGGATAATTCTGTGTAATGAATTTCTGCAAAATCCCAAAAAGCAAGACGTACAGTCAAGCACACGTAAGGACGCAAGAAGGACACAATGGCAGGATATATATATATATAGCTCTGTGTAAGGCTGATTAAAATAAATTTTTGAGTTAAATACATAAAACCGCAATTTTTCATTAAATTACAATACAAATAAAAGTGTGGGATAAAAAAAAACAAAAAAAACAAAAAAAAACAAAGAAAACAAAAAAAAAGAGAAAAAGAGAAAAGAAGAATAATAAAAAGGATACGGTATAAAATGATACTGAAACTGAAAACAAGAATAAAAGAGGACTTAAAGCAAATAAAAATAAAAAAGTGTGCTGATATTATATATGCGCTGCAAAATTAACCCTTTAAGTTAAATGCTTGCTCATTCGTTCGCACATCCTTGCGCATAAAAATGTCATATCAGCAGTTATTTATACATTTTCTTTAGCGAGAAGCCACGTTGCAAGTAATCCTGCGTTTATCATTGTGCACACTGTTTGTCGCATTTAGTCCTGTCGGTTTACTTCATTACAGTTTTAGCTGTGCTGTGCTGTGCTGTGCGTTGCGAAGGAAGTTGCCAGTAAGAAGTTACTGCTGCAGCTGCTCCTGTACTCAATGCCCTCCTACTGCTCCTGCTCCTACTGCTCCTACTGCTCCGTTGTCCTTGTGCACGTATTGTGGTTTTAACATTACTGCAAACGTTGTACATTTTAATTTCTTGGCGCTTCTGGAGGCAGGTTGGTCGTGTTGCGGGTGCTGGTGCTGGTGCTGGTTAGTGTGTCTGGATGTTTTCTTACGAAAGTCCTTTCATATTCCCGTAATTAGTTGATGTACAAGGATTAGCGCGTGTTGATGCTGTAATGATGCATCATAATTTCATATGCTTCACACTTTAAAGTCTATCCATTGTGTTTAATAGTTCTTCGCATTAAATTTATATTACGCTTATGTAGGTGTTAATGCGCTCATATCCTGGCGCGATTAAGAAGCAAACAAAATTACATGTGGCAACGCTTATCCTTAAGTAAACATAAATGTGTATTTTATGCATTTTAAAATTTTAATTATAATTTCAGCGATTATTTTTACTGCTAATGGAATGTGAGATTTTGCTTGTTTATTATTTATGTTAGACAAGCACTTGCGAAGCGAAAGAAGTATATATGGTATAGTGACTTTGCTGGTTCAGCTTTAAGCATTCAAGAAATACCAATAAGTTGCCAATATATTCTTAGGTTAGGTTAGGTTATACCGGTGATCCCTAGTGGATTCACTTAGGCCTATTGGCCCATTGTGATGCCGTATATAAATAATAAAAACCTCAGGGTTTAAAACCACCTAGAACCTTTTGCGAAGCATAAAATGCTATTTAAAGCCCGATCCTGTAACTGGTCCAGGTCCTCAAGGAAGGGGGCCCCTAGAGTACTAAATTGCCGACGTGCATGAGCTGGACAAAAACACAACAGATGAGATGCGCTCTCATCGTCCTCCCCACAGCTACGACAGATTTGGTTGAAAGGAAGACCTAGTCTTCTAGCATGGTTCCCTAGCTTGTAGTGTCCTGTAGTCAACCCTACCAAAAGACCAATGTCCTTGCGGGACATCTCAATGACAGTTTTCGATTTCCTTTTATCGGAAAGTGGCCAGATTGCATACAGATGTCTACATATCGTTGAGTCTTCCCAATATATTCTTAAAGTGATATTAATAGAACAATAGTATGGACAATGGTAATAACTAGCCATGTTTTAGCTAACGACTAAGGTTATGTGTATGTATTATAGATTTGTGGGCTAGAACATTAGAAGACTGTGACACTACGTCCATTGTTAGAACTTTACTCTACCTTATCTCTTATATTGTCATCTGATTCTTAATATCAAGATTTGGAAGATATTGACTAAACCAGTTTCTAAACCAGTAGACAGTTCGGCAATGTAAGGTTTGAAGCTATAATTGCTGTCTGACTATCCGTTATAATCATCATCATTTCAACTTTTCTGATAGTTCTGAATATCAGTTCAGAATACAGAAATCATTGTTTCTTGATTGACGTATATTCGCTTTTTTGAGTTGTTGGGTTGTACCGTTTAAGGTTTAAGAGTATGAACGCTGCTCCATATTTGTGGAATCTGTGTGCCAGCGGTAGTGGTCAGGTTTAGTTGTTACGACTATTAGTTGTTATAGAATATAATTATATGTTCTTTAAAACTAATTAAATTAGTAATAATTGGGTTAATAATAAAATAAAACAAAATATTTATGTTTCCAGTGGTGTAAAAATCCAAAAATATGTATTTTAGTTGTATACTTTTAAATTGCTTTCTTCACAAAAATTCTTATATTGATTTTATACAATCACAAACCATGCAGTTTTCGTTTAATTTCCATTAAGAGACTGAAAGAGACATGCTGAAAGACATCAGAGCAGTTGATCCATAAAATAAATAGCATCTGAAATCTTTTATCCTAAAGAGTAAAGACTTTGCAAGAGTTCTAATTATCAAAATAAATTGTATCTTTCTCCCTCTATTATGGAAATTATCAGTTTTAAGGAAGTCAATCTCTAACTCCTCCTGTACTCAATGCAATATCTCATGCATGGGTAAATAATTTGATCTGTACAAAAGATTTTTTGCTTAGAGTCCACATTTTGTAGTGTCCAATGGGCTTATAGTTTGAAGAACCAAGTCAACGCCGTTTAATAATTTGTTGGAATATTGTGTTGGATTCTGGATAATGTGCAAGTTTTCTCATTTTATTTTTTTTTATGGAAATTCATGTCTACATAGCTGTAATTAGTAGAAACTTTGGAGTTTTGCGTTCCAGAGGTGTGATTGAATAATTTCCTTTGGTTATAACAAGAAGAAGTAAGATGAGTTAATATCAGAGCAGTTTATAATTAATATATAATAAAGTACTCACAATCATGAATTTGCCAATTTCCCTGCATCGGCGTCACATTCTTGTCTCCTCTTGTCTTATTAATAGATGACAAAGAGATTCAACTTTCTCCATATATTTAAAACATACAATATAGTTCCTGTGAGATATTTATAAACAATATACTTACTTCTAGTATTTAAGCCATATTAGCTCATTTGATTTATCTTTGTTTAATAAGTTATGATTGGGTCTTACTCATTAACTTACTATCAGTTGTCTACTTAGTGGGTTGATGTGCCTGTTTATTTCGTCCTGCCATAGTGTATAGATTTTTAGTGGATTTTTTTGGAGAACGAGAACTTGATGTATTAACAAGTTTACTTTAAGGGATGATAATTAGTAATTATTAAAATTTGAACAAAATTATTAATAAATACTGCATTCTCGAACCATACCTACATCGTATATACCCATGCATTTGTATTTTCATAAATATTATCATACTTTTACTATATACAACTTACGTACATATATATGTCTATACATATGCATATATTATATATGCTAATAAATAATATTTACTAAAACTATGATAATATTTATTAAATTATACTGTAATAAACACATCCCCGATCGTTTTGTTCATTTCAATTTCTAATAGTTGCTGGGACCCATGAAGTGTTGTAGAAACATGCAAATCTGTCAACCTAAGAGAGATCACATATTATCATATGCATGGGTATTCAGAATTTATATATTATATATTTATATATTATTTAAATAAAGATAATTTTTTTATTTTTGCTTTAAATATGAAAAAGTATACCTATAAAGAGCGCACAATTTCAAGCAATTTCCTTTCCGATATCATACCTGTCTCACTTTGATAACGCTTGAATGATATTGGACAGGTGGTTTTATTTGCGGGACGCACTCAATCTTCAGATTAAAATAATTTAGTAGACACTTTTTTAAATAGTGTTTCGGCCATGATGGTAGTGGTCTTCTTGTTCTATTTCAAATCACAGAAGTTATATGAAATGATCAGTCTTAGCATTTAACTTCAAAAAAAAATTCAATTAAATTTTTAAAAATTTTCAAGGAAAAAATTAATTTTTAAAATTTTTTTGGATAAATATACACAGGTAACATATACGACTTTTTAATTGCATCTACGGGTACCAGTAATATCTTAAACTGAAAGAAAATCTTTTTATTTTATATAATGTTCATGTTGCAAAAAAAACTGCGAAAATATACAACCATTAAAAATAAAATAAATATTGGTACATGTTATTATAACTAAGCAATAAAATTAATAAAAGGTTCTATAATATATTAAGCGTCCAATTTCAGATAGATATATTCCCTACTTGCCATTTTCTAAATTCATAAATATTAATTTTACATATATACGAAATTTATATACGAAATTTATTTACGAAATTTACTCATTTATTCTAAATTTTAGTAGTTCCCTTTGCCCTTTAGTAGATGGTCTTTGCTCTAACAGAAATTAAAGCGGCCACTTTGTATATTTCAATAAATCTTTTATTTGTATAATTTTCTGAACTTACTCGCTCTGCAGTAAATTCGTCTTTTACATAATCAGTCATCACTCCAGTTCCAACAGTTGACATTTGGGTTTTCAAGATGCTTCCACCCAAGCGTGCCAAACTAACAAAGTACCTCATACCGTAAGATTAACCAAAAAAATATGTAAAATTTTGAAAAAAAATTGAAAAATCCAAAAATATATCTGGAGAATTTTGAGCTATTGACTCTAGGAATTTTTTCTTTTAAATGAAAATATTTTTATTTAATTTAAAAGATTTTTTCGAATATTGTCATACGCCTACTTTCTGGTATCATTGAGATATTGAGATATCAAGTGCCGAAAGAGACAGATATATTCTGATTAATGTCTTTAAAAATATCTATTAATTGGCTTCTCTATGTGCTTAAACTTGATTGCTTCCCATAGGAATATTAATAAAATAAAATGGAAAGTTAGGGTTACTCATATAAGCATATAAACTTATCAAATGTATAATATTTTGCATTTACGCATACATACGTTCATATGAACGCACCTAATGAAATGTTTGTGTAAATTTATCAAACTGCTGTATAATAACACTATTTAGCAGCGTAATTTTTTAGCCAATATCGATGTAATATCAAGTTGATCAGCTGGAATGTAACTCTGTATTTACAATAAAAAAATTCATACAATATTAATTAATTCGGTAAAATTTTTGTGTAAATTTATCAAATTTGTGTAAACTATTTTTCACACAAAATTTGATACTTCATTTATCAAGCAGTTTAGATGAGTACCCCTATTATAGGTATATATTTTTTTTTTGGTAATATATATAACGTAAATTAAGCATGGATTTTAGAATACAGACTTAGGTCGAATAATCATTCAAGTGCTTGATATGACAAATCACCTTTGATATTGCCTTTGTATCAAATAAAAATAAAGAATACGTAATTAGATTAGCATTCAAATCAGTTAGAAATATCAGAAAAGCTCTTTTGTGGTATTATAGTTGTGAAGGAAGAAAAAATTATTATTTGTATAAATTTTTAACAGATGTTATAACTGATTCTTATTAAAAGTCAAAATAACAGTTAAAGATAGGTAGGTCACAACCTGACTAATTGCGTATCCAAGAAAATGAATTGAATTTCCTTCGCTAACTCCAAATTATTATTTGCATCTATTTATGGATTTTAAAAAATTTATTTGGGTGTCGTATTTTTCAATATAATTGCATATTTATAGGCGTAATTACTCTCATCGGACATCATTCGACATATCCAAATATAAATGTTGTATACATGTTTAATATAATTTAAATAATAAATAATTGCGTATTTATAGGCGTGATTACTTTCTATCGGACATTATTATTATATCCAAATATAATTCTTGGAGAAATGAGTAAGGGATCTGCCTCAGCTATGAAATGTAGAAGATCGTCGTTTTAAGTACTACAGGTATATAATGCTTACCCTTGGTAAGTGACTTATCATACAATACAACAAAATACAACAAAATACAACAAAATAATAAATAAAAATTATTTTTTACTTTAATTTTTTTGTAGATATTTATTATTTTTATTATTAGTTTTTAATGCTATTTTCAAAATTAAACTGTGATATTGAAATAGTTATAAATGATAATAAATAATTTTATATATTAAAAATTAATATAATAAGTTCATTAAAAATATTATCAGCGATAAAAAATAACATATCAAATATAGTAAAGGCAAAGATAAAATTTTGGAAAACGAAAAAAGAAACTAAAATTTACGTCTTTGAAGGCAGTCGTGTTTCGCACAAGTCAAGGAAGCGAGTCTCCTAAATATATTCGGAGTATCTGCACATTGCACACTGAACCAGTTTTCTAAATAAAAATTTCAATTCGCTGCGAAATTACAGTATCCTCTATGTCATGTTGAATAACGAAAAGGATAACGACACGAGTCTCTTGAAGGAACTCACCACACTTCGTACTTCGAAACTGCAGAGCGGCAAGTGGATTCGTTATTTGGATTCGTTAAGTTCTTCATAACTTTGTGCTAAAGTATGAGAGTCCTTCAATTGTCCTGTACAAAACATCGTGCACACGTTTTCTCTATTTCTCTGTAATTCGGCTACTTATAACGTCCTGAGTAACGTCTGTTCGTTCCGCTCTAGTTTTTACATGCAAAATCAGAGTACGCAATGCGCAAAATCAATGCAGAAATACACTGCAATCGATTTGTTGCTATTATGAAATAATCGGGAAATTAGTTTGGAAATTTATGAGGCAAAAGTGATGTGATTGAATGAATTATTAATTTATTTTATTTAACTAAAAAAAAAATATTTAAAATTTTTATTTTTTACTTGGAATTTTTTATTTCGTTTAAAAATCATATTTTAAGACAATTTTTTTCAGTGTTTGAGATTTTTAACGAAATTGCTTAAGGGCTATCTGCGCTATTAGTTGAGTAACTTGGTTGGCTGGTTCGCTTTTAATCTCTTATATAGCAAAATAAAATTATAGATTGATATTGCATATAGTCTTTTTAGAACTTAAACTGAACTCTTAATAGTTCTGAGTGAAAAAAATGCATATTTACATAGTTTCTAGCACAACTACTCTTAATATTACAATAAACTATTAAAATGACATAAGGAAAATGAATTAATTGAATGTTCATTAACTTAGATTTTTATTCTTATAGATAGTTATTCAGTTTTTAAATTCTTCTATGATATTCTCCTCAAAATAGATATTGGTTGTTAAAAATAATATCTTTACTTAGCTATCAATTTTTAAGTTAATAAATCAAAGTATCTGTTATGGTTATGGTTACGCATTATGCAGGACTTAAACACATAATGACCTATTTGAAATATCACTAACTAGAGACATCTGTAAGCGAATAGTTCTTTGCGCACTTAACCTGAGAGTTCAATTAATTTGTCTATAATTTACTAACCTAACAGTCCAAATATAAGTCCCTTTGTTGATTATAACAGAGTATAATAAGTTACGTTCCCGAAAAGGGCAGCAGATGCGTTCAATCCTCATACACTAAAGATATACATTACTCAAACGGGAATATAACTATTATAACTGATCGCCATGCATGCAGAATTTGTTGATTTGTTCATTATTGAAATGAAGATTTAAAAAAAACTATGAAACCATTTTTAATATAAAATAATATGCTAAACATATACAATAGATATACACACGAATATTCAGAATTTTCTGATCTTTAAAATTCAAACATTAGAGATATTAGAAACTTATGTCTTGAAAATAAATAGCATGCTTACTTTAATTATACCATTGAAGAAACCTATATATAAAGGTTGTAATGAAATAAAATAGATAGAATTGTTTTGTCTCAAACGTAGACTTATATGTTGCTGCACAATTTGGGTTAACGCAATTTCACAGTTTAGTATCCACATTATACATCCTGTATTTTACATGAACGTCAAGAAAGCAAAACTTTTAAACCATTATGAAATGGATTTACATACTCTTCTAGAACACTAGGCTCCATTCTTTGGTCGTTTGCCTCATCCAATATGGGACTACTATATAGGACCACTATGTTTCGTTGCAGTTGAACCTTCCCAAATTAGAAAACTATTTGATGTTTATGATAAAAATAATCGAAACTTGAATATTATTAACAAAATAATACGCTATTACTGACGTTGAAATACCTCACAAAATGTAACACCAATATTTCGAAACATTTTTAAAGTGTACTTTCTGAGTAGTAGAACGACATTAATGAGTGTCTCTTAAATTTCCCAGTATTTTGTCCAGTATAGTGTCAGTTATAAAATTCATTGTTAAAAGGAAAAATTAGAAGATTTTAAAAAATAAGGAAGTGGGGCTAATAAATAATCAAGTAATTAAATTGAGTAATAAAATTAATTAAATTTAAAAAAAAAATAATTTCTGATTGTATTACTTAATGCGTTCCATTTTTTATTTTATCTAATGGAACCACGAACTGAACTATTGGCTTTGTAGAATTATGAACTGACTAAAAAGGTTAGATAAATGACTTTTTGAATGGATCTAGTGGTACAGAGTATCGAACAACTATAGAAATGTAAGCTCTTAAATGTTGTTAAATGCTTTTATATCTAATAGAAATTGAGCTCTTAATAAAATTCCAAAATTATAATTTATCTTCTTTTATTATATGTCTTTGACATGTGTTCACTGGTCTTACTCCTTATCTACTTTCTATGAATTTAAATATGCACCCCTCTACGTCAATGTCAGGTTCGCGTATCGTGTGACAAGTGCAGGCTTTATACCACAGTTTCTTATTACTAATGTAGGTTGGCTAGTATATCTCCAATATTATTTTAAGACGACTTCACAATTGAGATGAATACTTTAATTGTAGTGTCACCTCTATTACCAATTTAGAGGTTAATAGAGGATATTACCTTATTTAAGGGTTACTGTCTTTTCCCATACCGTTGATGTGATTATGCTTTCCGAGCAACAATTTCGTTAGATTAGCTGCGTTTTGGTGTTGACGAAATTGTTGACGTTCTTCAAAAATCCTTCTTAACTACATACTATAAGTACTGCGATCCATTTCAATAAATTTGTCAATAATTGGTCAAGCCTAATGCTTAATATCTGTGTTGATGCCAATCACTTTAAGGACTGTATCAAATATATCTACTATAGTTACTATCATAATAAAAAGGAAAACATCATTCAATACTCCTTTTACAATACTTAGCTTTTTGAGGACAATTTAAAGCATACAAAATAAATCGATAACAACCTTGCTTAGTTATAATATCCTAACGACAAAACATCAAGATTCGTAATATTTTAGCACATTATTATGTCTATGGACTTAATAGAGGTTTTGGAAGGATGATGTTGCAAGTGTATATGTTTTAAGGTCTTATGCTAACCATTGTGACCGTACATCACGCATGAATTCAAATGGACAGGGGAAATTAATGGCTAAATATGTATATTGGACTTAATCAAGATTTTGTAGGGGGAATACTGCAAATACATATGTTTGATTTTACATTTCTATGATAACTATTTTGATTATATATGAAACATGTATCCCAGGGTAGAGGGGAGACCGAAATGAACCTTCAATTAATCACTGGATATAATTATATATATGTCTATACATCATGAGTGCATCATGGGCCGGTTTTATGATAAACAAATGTATATTCGATATATCTGTAAGACCACTCCCT